TTTCTCTACAGAAAGTATTTTATAGATGCCACAGACTGCTCTGTTTCACAGCAACAGAACAAATTTATGAAAGAAGGAACATATTCATATAATCAATGTTAATCAAATGTTTGGAAATCTCTCAGCAGGAATAAAATAATCGAATGTGTTTTTAGGATCTGACCATCGTACAAAGATTTAGAAAATCAACTTTATATCAGTTACTGAGATTGCCTGAATTGAAACACTTTTGATCACTAGGATGATCAAAAATTCAGATTAAGGATTAAGATCTGCATAACTCAGAAGCTTCATGATCTTCAGTGAGATACATTTCTGATCTTTTCGCTTCTTAAAAAAAAATCTAGAAAAAATGTAAGAAAAATTGTAACTTTCTTGTTTCATCGATTTACGGCAAAGTGTTTAATGCTGAAACAAAACATTAATATTTTTTGTCTAATAGGTATATTATGTATACTTTCTTTAAAGACGGAAGATAGAGAATTGTTTTACCTTCACCCCCTCCTTCAAAGGTCTCCTATTAGGTGCAGCAGTGTTGCTGATTTAGACCGACCACCCATTTTGCATCAAGCACTGAGGTCATGCCCATTGAAGGACAGCTCCCTCCAGACCAACATGTATATTAGTAATTGAGCGCTGTAGGATCAGCGTCAAAGTTGTTGAGAGTAGGAGAAGAACGACAGTAAAAGCTACATTACAGCTGATCTCTGATTATTGTTGCACCGATACCAGTATCGGGCAGGGCCCCCATCCAGCACTAAAATGGTGGCATCGGTATCGGCGAGTACGAACAAATAGGGCACTGATACCATTTTGAGAGCCAAAAGTTTATTCAACTATTGTCACCCATTTCAGGTAGGCCATAAAAAGTTATACTGGATTCACTTTCTATTGGTCTTTTTCCTGCTTCACAAAGGTAGACAGCAGCTTGATAAAGCCATGATGGCAATTTTATTTTACATCCAAGTAGTATGCAGTTCTTCAAATATAAACACACACATCAATTTAAAACAGATGGCATTGGTATGGCCAATACTGCACAGCCAGGTATTGGGTATCGGGGCCAAAAAATGGCATCGGCACAACACTATCTCTGATTCACAGTATTGGTATGAATACTGCGGTAGCTCCACAGAATCTGTCACACTCAGACTGGGGCATGAAAGCTGACTGGAAGGAGGGCCCCCTGACTAAAGTTCACTAAGGGCCAAAAATAGCTAAGTCTACCACTGCCCATAGCTTTGTCTAGTAGAGAAGATGGACTAAGCACTGAAAAACAGGCCCAACTCTTTCATCTTTAAGGGGTTGATGGCAGCAGTCTGGCTGCGATGCATGGTAGGTAGCAACAGAACCAGTTGGATAAACTTAGAGAATATTAAGAAGAACCAATGCAGCCACAGCCGACTATGGGATATTTGGGTTAGAACTAATTGGTTTTATGTTTGATGAAAGTGTGACCCTGTTCATTGTACTAAGTTTGTGATTTTTTTTCTTGGGGGCTTAGGCTTAGCAGGTAAAAGCCTAATGCTCAAGTAAAAAAAAAATTGCTTTCTGATGGAGACGTCTATGACAAATACAACCAATGTTGTGCAAGTTCATAATTAAAAAATGAGCTCGAAATTTCAAGTCAGACAGATGAAAATGATGTAGTTCACATTAATAGTCTATAAACCTAAAAAATGAAGTAGTTCAAGTTAATTTGGTAATTTAAGCCAAAATCTTACACAATAGAAACTCATATTTTACCCTTTAAGTGTGTGATCATAATGTATAGAAATGAATGGAAGATACTTGATGCAGTCAAGGTATACTGTACTGTAATGTAGTGAAGCCTTTATTAAGCCAAATTACTCAGAGCCTCATAAACATACAGGTAGATTCAGGTTCTGCTGAAAAGATCTGCATCAAAAAGGATTTCTTATGTTCCTCATTCAGTAGCAGATATTTCCTAAGATAGCTTGAAAGCTTTAACCAGATGTGTTGCTTTAAATTTGAAGTGGAATAGGCTGAAATACAGACAAGTTTGTCAAGTCTCGGTGGACAGTTTGCACAAAAACGTGAGTTGCTTTTTGTTTGAGTTGTTTGAGTTGTTTGAGTTGGGTTCTTTCTTTGTTAGTTCAGAAAACTCTGCTAGGTGCTCTGAAAAACTGGAAATACAAGTAGATGAGTCTGAATTGTAGACATGCAGTAGACATGCTTGTCTGTCATGCTGTACCGCACCATATTTTCAGGACTATAGAGGGCGGCTCACTATACACCGCACCCACTCAGTGTTTATTTAAAAACATGAAACATACATATATAAGCTACACCAGGCTATATCTACTTAACTGTCCCCCACCAAACCTCTACATATCACTCCTAGAGTGGAACGAAGAAGAATGCTATCCAGTCTCTATGATGGTAGATTTATGTCTTTATTATTCAATAGAATAAAGGTTGCTTCAACCAAAAAATGTATTTTCAATGAAAAACACATTCACAACAAAGAAAAAAAAAACCTTTCAATGAAAGAATAAATGTAAACATATAGTTGAGACTTCAAAAAATAAATTTGAACACTGACGTGCTGGCTTGGAGTTCATCTGCCTCTGTGTGTTTCCTGGATTGGGCCACCAGTGGAGCTGGTTGACAGTTACCTTTTTCTATCTCTGCTTTGAACCGCAGTCGGCCTCGACAGATTGCCGCTCTCACTGAGTTCTGCTGGAGGTTTCCTCCTGTTAAAAGGGAGTTTTTCCTCTCCACTGTCGCTACAAGCATGCTTGGCATGAGGGATTGCATTTGGGTCAAGGAGTTGATGCAATCAACTGCTTTTCCATAGATAGAAAACTTTGAATCAATTTGACTGTATGATCTGGTTGAATTGTAAAGTGCCTTGAGATGACGTGTTGAGAATTAACGCTAAATAAATAAACTGAAATGAATTGAACACAGCTTTTCTTTGGTAGAAGTCAAGTTTTTTTTGTTTGTTTGTTTAAAGCAACTTTTTAAGTTAAAGTAACTTTGTTTTTTTTATTGAAAGACACAAATTGACCTTCATACGTCTTGCAGCAGTAAGACTTTCTGATCAAAGTTGAGGCTTCATTAGCTCTCTATTTTAGCTCTGCAGGAATCGTGCTCTCTTCATTGTTTTGACAGCTTTAATGCAGCAAATAAATGTCAGAATGTGTGAATCAGGACATTTGTTCTCCTTCATGCCTACTGCTAGAATATCCTTGTGCTAAATTATCTGATTTCCCATTTTGACTTGCGCCCCCTGGCGGTTAGGAAAAATCCGCAGAAAAGCCTCCATATAAGCTGCATTGTTCAAAGTGTGGAAAAAAGTAGCAGCTTATAGTCTGGAAAGTACGGTAGGTTAAAAGATCGTAAAAAAGCAACACATTATCCTCCAATCTAACAGAAGTCAAAAACAGGTGATGAAGAAGGACGCCTATATATTTAAGTCTAGAATGTGGTGAGAAAAGTTGTTTTTTAGGACTTCGGGACTTCAGCTAACCACAGCGAGAGCCATTATCTGCAAATGTGAAAACATAACAAATCACTGACACGTGATAACATCACACAGTAACATCTAAAGCTTTTACTTTCCTCAGTTAAGGTCAGTGTTTATGATTCAAGAAAAACAAAGACTTCTGAGGCAAAAAACGAATCCTGACCAAAAATATTACGTGGACTGGCAAAGCTAGAAGAGAGCTGTTTTTTAGGAAGGAAGGTGTGTCACGTTACATCAAACAGCATTTTAACTACCTTCTATTCTCAGAAAAGGAAGGAACTACAGTAAATGTACTTTTAGTACAAAGGCTTTTACCCTGAACTGCAAGTTCCTAAAGCTCAGCTATGCACATCTTTGATTTTTTTTTTAAGAGATCCTCAGTTGAAAGGCAAATGCCACACTACCACCGTCTTCTACGTCAGAAGGAAAAAAGTATTTGCTAGTCAACCTTGTTTAGGTTAAATGACATTTGGTAGATGAGAGGATACATTTGAAACAAAAAATGGTGAACAATTAAGGGCCAAAACTAAGGATTATTTTTCTTATCCATTAAGGTGTTGACTGTTTTCTTAGTTAAAAATCAGATAGCAAAATGTTCCTGACATGAGATATTTTTTTACAGAACTATAACCATTGTAGAGCTGAAATAACGTCACTACAGAGGTTCTGGATAGATCATATTTACTGTACAGAGGAAGGTTGTTTTTTTTTCCTAATTACAAAATGTAGCTGTATTTTTTATTTATTTTTTTTATATACAGCTCTGGTATATGTATTGGTCTAAGTGGGTGTTTTTAGCAACAAAGATTTTTTCTTTTGATTGTATACGGCTCTTAATGATTTTTTTCATACTAAATGAGTAAGCAATTATTTTAATAACTGATTAATCACTTCTATTCAGTTTAACTGTTTCAGCCATAGAACAATTGAATGAAAGCATAAGATTCACAACAAGGCAGTGTCTCTCAGGAGTGCTGTTAGGGTCTCTGGACTATAAAACAAAAATGTAAACTCTATTTGAATACTGTATGTTAAATATTTCTAATGTAATTGCAAAATATGACTGTTTGTTTTACCTTTTTTCACTTTTTTTGTTTTCCATATGTGAAAGTTTGCCCTTAAAACTTAAATGAAGATTTCACATTATGTACCAGTGAATACCTGATGATATAACATATAATATCTACCGTAAAGTGAAAATATGTGCCTTAAGGTCCAATTACTGGTCCTGTGGCTGATTATTAGTCTGGACTGTTCCTCAGGAGGTATAAGTATACACCTACTGCCCTCATGTCTTAAAGTGTGTTCTTTTATGGCCAGAAAGAGTTTCTGAGAATGATTCTGCTCTCTCTCAAACGATAAACAACGAAAAAGGTCTCAGTTTTTGGCCCTAAGCAAGTCCATCTCGGATCTGCTTAATAAAGGAATAAAAAGGGATATTTTATGCTTGGTGGTCATCGAAAAAAAGGGTTATCATCGTCTTCTTAATTTTCTTTTTGCTGTTAAGGCCAGAAAATCTGCCGACGTGGGACCGAGCGCCCGTGCTACAAGGCATCCTACATTCAGGACAGTCGTCGACGGCTGACATTTGAGGATGCCAGGCAGTCCTGCAGGTCCGAGGGAGGAGAGCTGCTCAGCATTGAGACGGAGAGTGAGCAGCGGCTGATAGAGACCTTCATACAAAAACTGAAGGCCGGAGATGGGGACTTCTGGATCGGGCTTCGACGCAGCCCGCAGGATTATAGGACAGGGAATAACAACCCTGGGTGCCCCTCCCAGTACTATTGGGTTGATGGAAGCAAGGCCAAATACAGGTTCTCCTGATTTTTTCTCCAACTGACTCTTTTAAACAGAACAAACTGGATAAGGAAACAAACTGTGTGTAACTTTAGTGTTTTATTTGCTGCAGGAACTGGAACTGGGATGAACCGTCTTGTGGTGCTGAAATGTGTGTCGTGCTCTACCACCAGCCCACTGCACCAACTGATGAAGAGGGCCATTTCCTGTTTAAGTGGAATGATGACAACTGCAGCGCCAAGAACAACTTTGTCTGCAAATACAGGGAAGGTGAGTGAACAGAGCTGTGGCTGGCAGTTTCTAAATGTCTCTGCCAAAGTCACCAAATAGAATAAGGAACAGAGTGTTAATATCCGCTAATGTTATAGTTATCGCTAGTTTGCTCTCCAAAATGTTAATGAGAGAACATGAGACGGCGTAAGTCAATGGGCGAGGCTTACTTTGATTCTTTGAAGTCTGTGGCTGTTCCCACCATGCTAGATCACAGCAAGCTCTCAGCGTAAGTTTATTGCATACATTAAAGACTAAACTAGGGATATAGAGGCTAAAGTTGCTCACCTAATATTCTGTAAATTGAAATACCTTTTCTGCAGTTTTTTTTTAGAGAAAATGTTGACTTCAGAGTAAAAGAAATACTAGACAAGAAGAAGTTGTCTTATCTCTCTTAGGCAGAAGCATCCAATCAGATGTCAGAGTTTTTATGGAAGTAGCACTAGTCCCACCTCCTTGATTTTGATGAATGTGTGATAGGTTAAATTATGGTGTGCTTCAGCATGGCAACAGAAAGTAATTTATTAAATCATGAAATAATTAGATTCACTTCTTTAGAAAGATGTCCAAAATATTTCATTGAAGCTCATATAATTGATTGTATATTTATTCAATGCATTCTGTATTCATTTGTAGTCTTACTAGATTATTGAGACTTTGAAATAATAATTTATAAGGTATTTATCTAATGTGAACTCGCTACTTTCCATAGTCTGCAACCTTTCTATGAGGAAACAATATTGATCTCTAATAACCTCTCTGTAACATAAGGGTCTAAAGCTAAATAATGAAAAATAAAAAACAAACAAGAATAATAAAAAAGAAGAAGAAAAATTATCATCTCATTAAATATTTCTGAGCTCAGCTTTTTTTTATTTATTGGATTATTAATAATGTACTTATTTTCTTCAACTTCTGCAGAAAAAATACCAGTACTCACAGGCGACAGGATCATAATGCAACCAGGTACACATTTCTCATGTTTAAATGAAGAGTGTAATATGGTTTTAATATAATTGTTGTTTCTGTATGTGTGTCACATTTATATGATATATTTTTTTAATACAGGGTTTTCCTACTGACATTTTTAATGATTCCTGTTGAATAAATAAAACTGAAGTGTTTTTGAAGATGATCAAATGTGTTCAGAAACTTCCAATTAGCAACCATTAATTCCTAAATCCCTGTGCTGTAAATATGACATGATATAGGAGCCCTGTTTCTCATAGTCGCTTTTCAACACAGTAATACAGAGAAATAGATCTCATGTCATTGAGAGTTAGTTCAGTTTATCACCCGTTTTGGATGTGATCAACCATTAAATTGCCATTATTAGCAGTTATTAGCCCCATACATTGGCTTCAGGCTCTGCCTCCTCTACCTTCTAGTAGGTTTTTATGGCTAATAATATCATTGAAAACAGCCCCCTCTATAACTGTACCTTTTATTTACAATTTAGCTACATTATACTTTTTATCTTCTTTATTTATAAGGTACCTATTTTTTTAAACTGTATTTTAAAGCTGAACTTCATTTCTACATGCATGGTAATGTGATGTTTAAATATTTTTTTATTGGTTTGTTTAATATGAGTGACTTGCAGATCTCTTTTTTGTACAATAGATAAAGAACTACTAAAAATATGTTTACCTGTAGATTAAACATAAATAGATTAATTAATTCCACGGGCTGCAACTTGATGACCTTAAGGTTAGGATTAGGTCAGGATTCATTCGGCGATAACAACATACTGAGCCTACTGGAAGGCACAATCTGGAGCCATTCCATGGGAATGATAACCACCAATTATTGCCATTTAATTGGATGATAACATCCGAAGCCGCTGGGTTTATTGAAATTGCCTACTCTCTGTTACAGAAAATTAAAAAAAGGCTTTGACTGCAAAAAAATCACAAGGAAGATGGGTTTACTGAAGAGTGGTAAAAGAAAATAAAAGATGCAGTAGCAGTGGTTATTAAAATCATTTAATTTGTGTTCTGACTAATGCAGAGGCACGTGTTTCCAGCAGAAAGGCATTTTTCCCTGTGGTTCCCAGAAGGAAAAGACAAGACTATATTTTGAAAGTTTTTCAAAATGCATATGAACAGGCTTGGAGGTAATTTAACAAGCTAAACTTGATTAGATTTAAAGGAGGAAGGTATGACATCTAAATACACTAGTCAGGACAACTGCTGTAGGTTATGTGGCCAAATGCAGGCTGATCATTTCCTTTTTTGGGGGATGTGTTCCTCTGTGGCTCCATTTTGGAAAAGGTTCATGGGGCCTTGGAAGAATTTGCAACTGTTGTATAATGCTTAACTGTTTTATAATGTATGTTACACACGTCAGAATCATAAAATTTTCAAAATTGAAAGGATTACCTTTAAAGAGGCATTACAGGGTTTTCAAATGGTACTGCCACCAGTGGTCAAAATACAGAACTGCAGCACTCTTCTGCTCGCCTTTCTACTTGACAAGTTCTTTGTTTTTGTTTTTACTTATTTTACCTTGTATGGAGTTGCTATCAGCTGGATCTGGGTATCCACAAAATCCATCTTGAATATAACATTTTTATCATTTACAAATTCGACCCATTATACATGGACGTGCTTGACGTCATATCCGGCGAACAGCGCTGGAACTCTGAAGTGCATTAGGGAAAATAGGCTCAGGCTTGTAGATATTTGGAGTGTCTGTCTGCTCATCAAACAATGTTTGTCATAGAGGGTCAAATTTTTTTCAGAAACTTTAGTATTGTCTTTTTAAACTAAAGTTAGAGTAGGATATATTTGGGGACTACTGATCTAATTGGTTGACATATGTGTCAGCAAAAAGGCACAATTTTGTATGATGTCATGTTTGTATAATTGCCCTCACTGTTGTAGAGGTTTCAGATGTGTTTATTGTATAAAAAATAGATACATAGTGAAAGACAAAAAAAACAACTGCTAAAAAGGTGAAAAAATGGAGCTGAACGAGAACCCAAGTTTATAGAATAATGGAGGTACGTTTGAGTGACCTAGTCCACAGTACTGACCATTAGATGTTCTCTATATGCCAAACCCTTTTTTGGGAGACATGAAAGAAAAAGGATTTGTGTCATTACATTTCATGGGTAAATCTGTGTGAATTTTCTCACAGCTTCTGTGACTTTTATTTTGACTGTCAACTTCCATAAGACGAGATAAAAACTAACTTATTTTGCAACAGATGCTATGTTATAAACAAAGGATTGTGATACAGCACCTCTTTCCCAATCTTAAATATGGTAAAGGAGCTGTGATGCTGTGGGCCTGTTTGTATTCTTAAAGTTGTACGGAAGTCATCTTTAAATGTCAAATCATTCTGGCTTAAACATGTATATAAATGTACTCTTTATCAGGCAATACTGTCCCAAAAGTTAGTGTAATAATTAGTTTAAGCGATCTGACCCACATGCAGAGAACCAGTCAGAGACCAAGGGAAACAGTTTAACAGGTTTATTGAATGTTGATGAAACACAGAAGTAGGAGCTGGAGCTCAGTGGACTTGTGAACCGGAACCGGAAAGTCTGAGAGAGGTCACAGTGATCAGTTCAGGGACCGTAGGAAAATTGACTGAGGCTTTAATATAGCTGGAGAGAAACTCACGTTTGAGGCGGCTCTTGTTAATCCCTGAATCCAGTTTGTGGGGAATTAATCCAGAGGAGAGGGAACTTGTTGGAGAGCGGACAGGTAGACATACGTTGGACCCAGAGGAGTAAAAGAGTGGACTGTCACTTGGTTTTCCGATGAGGATCATGTGGAGGTTTACCCCTGCTCAGTGTGTACTCAGTAATCCTTCCAGGGGGAGAAGGTCCAGGTTATCCAGTTACACAGGAAAGGCTTGCTGCCGAAAAGCAAAGACAAAAACAAGATTAGACTCAGAGAAACAAAGCTTCGGTTAGACTCTGCTAATCTCAGCTTGGCTAGAGTACCCAAAACTGGCAAACACTCTGGCGTCGAGGTAGGGACAGTCCGCTGCTCAAATACTCCTCCAGTGACCCGCAGGTGTGCAGGGAGGCCCAACGAGGAACAGGGCACCACCTGGTGGTGGAGAGAGAAAAACATAAAAACAACCCACACAAACTGGATTCCTAACAGTTAGAACATTTCTATTTAAAAGAAAGTCCTGTCTAAAAATCTGTGGGTTTTTTTTTCTTTATCTTATGCAAGCCAGTAAGTTATATGTCAGCTTGTACACCTTAATTCAGCCAATCATATATCAAAGGTCATCTGTCAATCACATTTTTCGATCATAGCATCTTGATTCATATGTCGCAGCTAATATACGCAACTGTTGAAATAAGAATCTTTTACTTAACCACTTATGGCCCGCTGTTCTCGGGGATAGACGTCTGTGTCTTTGGCAGGCATAGATCTAACAGAACTGCCAGCGTTGCGAGGCAAGAGCACAAACATGTACGGCTGTAAACCTTCTACACCAAACGAAGCTTTTGCCGCCTTGGCGTCCTCTTCCACAACATCCTAGTCCCTGCTTTCCTCCTCTAAATAAAAAAATGTATGACGGAGGAGACTCCGACACAAAACTCTCCTCCTCTTGCATGTTTCCGCTGTCCATAGCGTTCCTTGAAAATAGTAATTTCACATTGGGAACCTACTAGCACTAAGTTGCTAACTGGTTAACAAGATGCTTCTGAGCAACCAAATTTGCTTGCGAACCTTCCGCCACAACAATCCCGCCCTCTTGATAAACGACCAATCACATTTACTTTATTCACTCATGTAAAGTCGGGCACCACTCGGGAGAATTCGGTACTGCAACCGTTGGAACGGCCGTTTCCCTATGACTTTAAGCTGAGTGGGCATAAAATAGTGAACTTGTGGAAAGATTTCTTAAAAGTGGGTCATGGTTGGATCAGCTGCATGGGTTTAGTGAAATGGCCATGAGGCATAAATTTGTATTTTTGTTCCACTGAGGACTTGTGTTGTGTCTGTAGTTCCAACCATGAGGCCAACCATACCTACGGAAGGAGATGTGAGGATAACTATGGGATTACCTGGGTCATCAGGTAAAAAACACTTATTATTTTCAAGATTATTTTTCTAAAGAAACAAATTTTATTTAGGAATAGTTGAGCTAAATAATGTCTAATTTCTTGTGGTATCTTTCTTAGTCAACAGCCTCTATGTTTCCTACATCCTCTATGCCACTATCCCTACTCTGCTGCTGCTGCTACTGCTTGCAGTCACTGGGTTCTTCTGCTACAGACATCATGCAAAAAGGTACAACAAAATTTAAATTTGAAAAACAATCCCATGCAGTATTTTTTAGTGTAACATATCAAACCAACTCTTTGGAAAACTTGTTTCTAAACCATTTTTTACACTTGCTGTAGATTTTATTATGTCCTTTTGTCTCCAGGAGGAAGACTGAGAGCTTCCCCAGCAGGTCAAAGAAGCTGATCCCAGTTGCAGCTTCTTCTTCCTCCATACAGGGACCTTATGCCTTTAGTGACATTACTAAACTGCCTCACAATAATCTGGACTACAGAATGCAGGCAGAAATCATGGCAAAGTACTCCTTCCCTCCTCTACAGGATCCCCAGTATGTTGATTATGAAAATGTGACATGTTCGGACAAGGAAACTGGCTTTGTGACCAATGACATCTATGAGACCTCCAGAACTCAAACTCGGCACTGCAGCAGTCAGGCTGGATGGGTGGACAATGAGATCTATGGGTAATATTATTTAACCGGATCTGAGCTCTGGAAAAATCTGTGAATTTTGAATTATTAAAGGAATATTATTGAGGTAGCAAGATGAACATATACTATTCTATAACCCTCTCTTCATTACATATATTGCTTTGCGGTACGAAATCTTTAAACATACAGAGTTGGCTTTAAAGTGCAAATGTATGATCATCTCTTATTTTTGGTCAGTTATAACACCATATTTAGTTAACAGTTTTATATATGTATGACACTTTTTCTTTAAATAAATGCTAATATCAATGCAAACAAAAGCTGTGCTTATGTTTGATTAAAGATGTGTTTACATGCTGACAAATTGATACTTACAGTCCCTTTGTGACCTTGAAATTTGTGACGCTGCAACAAAGAATGCAAACCTATCTGGGAAGTATTATGTACTAGAAAAATAGAAATAATGACATTGTTCTCCTTACCTATCATATTGTGATGACTCTTTTCCATTGACCTCTTTAAGGGACCAACATGATTTACTGTCCAATTTAGTTCTGAATATTGTCTATGCCTTTTCAAACTTTCATTTTCGTATCTTCTTTGAATGAGTTTGGTGTATTGCTTCACCCACAGTAGTGATGAAATATAAAATCTCTTATAATTTTCAACTGTCTAGCAGACGCCTGGAGGTTTGGCGTTAAAATTGACTCTTATTTGCAATGTTGTATAATTTAAATCCACCTTATTAAAACCCCAGAAAGCGTGAATATATCACTAACTGCAGAGCAAGATGCTGCACTTTGATTTTGCTCAGTGTGGTTTTCAAACCCATCTAAAATTCAAGGTTTTGGGAGATGGGAGTAAGGCCTGGGTATTTATTTTGAGTTGTAGAAAATATATGAATGTAATGATCTCTGCCCAGGTCCCCCTTGAAAATGAGATCCAGATCTCAATGGGGTTTACCGGGTTAAATAAAAGAAATAAGAATAAAAATAATTAATACAAAGTAGAAAATGCTTGTGTTCCTAACCAGCCACAAGTTTTCTCACACCAACTTTTGTTCATGAGCTCACTTTTATTTTTTTATGTCTGAAATTATTTATAGTTTAACTGATTTAGCGTTGTGTTGTCCACTTCTTTTATTCATGTATTTCACTTTAAAGAGGAAATAATATGATGAAATGGAGCTGACTAGATTAAGCAATGAAGTAGCACATACATGCAATAATAAAACACAAATTTCATGCTGGGAGTATGGGTCTTTTAAGCTCTGAGGACTATTAGAGGTTGCATTTTCTCTTTTTTACCCAAAATAAATATCTTCTGGAGCATTAGCAAAATACATTTTAAAAATGTATTGAGATCAGAGCAAAGCTGGCTTCTTGTTGAAATGAACTTCCTATTAGAGACCTTTAAAACCACTCTGTTCTAAATCATAAATGTTCTCATCTCAGTAAAAGGCTTCCTGTTTGTCCACTGATGTCAGGGAACAGGACAGTACACCAGGAAGGACCAATGACAGAAAACTGCTGAGCAAAACATTTTCTTTTTTTTTAGTTTTCAATAGTTTACAGTATGTCATGACATACTGCATGGGTTTATATTGCATGCGCTCTGCCTTTATATGTGATAAGACAAAATAAAATGCTATTTCAGAATACAAAGCTGTTTTTAATGAGTACATACTATGTGGGCTGTCTTGGTTGGTGATTTGGAAAGATGAAGCAAAGCCCAGTAAGGAGAGGCTGAGTGTGTTCTTGGAGAAAGTTCGACAGGAAATGCCAAAAGCACATCTGGAACTCTTACATTCAGGAAGTCTTTGTGACAGCAGAGGCCTTCAGTGCACTCCTCAGGCTTTTTCCTTCACCAGTCTGCTGCTCTCTGTTTGGTTCTTTACTGCATGACATGAAGCAACCACCCATGTATGTAAGAACAGCCTGTGCAGTGCCATAAGAAAAAACACATTTTCCCTATTGGATTTTTTTTCTTTGTAATTTTTTTTGTCACACTGTAATATTTCAGACAAAAAAAGAGGAAATACAACTTGCAGTTTTTAAAAGATTTTTATTTAGTAAGGTAAAAACATTATTCAAAAAATCTGATCCTGCAGGAAGTTGGATCATTTTCCTTTATGAGTCAGGCAGTCAGCTATATATTTGGGTCAAATGAATTTTAGAATCTAGACATTACATCTGATTTCAAGAAATCTGAAAAGAGATTAGAAAATCATACAGTAGAAATCTATATATCTGAACAGGGATACATGCAGAACAATTCCTGAAGCTTTAAGACTCCAGGGAAGTGATGCATTCTACTAAATAATGCTTAAATTTTTTTTATTTTAACTGTTTTTTTATTATTTATTTAGATAAATGCACTTTGCAACTTGTATGGCCTCTCGGCAAGGTGAAATACACATCTTTACCAACAGATGTCGCTGTGATGTAGTAGAACAAAGTGACTCATTTGATCAAGTGTCCCCCTTCTATAAAAAGAAATATAAAGATAGAGCGATCACAATAGCACCCATTACATTATGTGGAATAAAGAAATCATGATATTTGTTGAGCTGCAAAAAAGAATCGTGCTTTTCTCAAATGTGCATCTTCTTTTATGTTCCATTTAGTTTTAGATGGCCATTTCTCCAGTTAAAATGATCAGATAAAATATCTTTATTCGTGCATTTTTTTCGCTGTAGTTCTCGTTAAGCACCTGCAAAGGAAAAAACTTCGAGCTACCTTTGCGTGCAATCAAAAAAAAAAAAAAAAGCAGGCGAGCAAACAGATTTCAGAATAGCAATTTTACCGGCTGACGTAAGAGGTGGGTCTGGTTGTCCTGACAACCAATTGGCACTGAAGTGTGGAGCTGCTCCGTGGCCCCGCCCTCTATACAAATACCCCCATGGCTTTGACGTCAATACACGTCAACCCGAGAACATGATGCCTCTCAGCGAGTCAACTCGTGTGCTCCGTAGCTGATAGAGGCACCTCCAGCTGAAATATTATCGCTCTATTGTACCGGGGTGGGGGGGAACGTGACGTGACAGCCTTGTGGCTCGCCGCGTATGAAGGAGAGTCAGCGCCACATTGGCATTTTTTTAAGCCGGTAGTGGCGAGAAAGAAATCAACTTTGTCTATTTT